AATATATATACAATATTTAAATGAGGAGTATTTAGGTTTTTAGTCAGAGTTTTCGGGATTTATATTCTACTTTTAAATTAATTAAAACCATTTTTGATTTTGTTGGGGAGGTAGGTGCTTATACTAACTTTTTTTGTTCTTTATTTTATTATAAAACAATACCTCACTGTTATTAATAGATAATTCAATAAGTGTATAAATAAAGTTTTCAATTGATTAGGTACCTACTTATAAACATTTAGATAAGGTAAATTTGCCACAGATTTAAAAAAGAATTTAAGTCGTAAAAAAATGTAAGTTTAAATGCCTGCACGTACCTATATGAATCTTTTTTTACTATAATAATTCTTATCAAATTGCATTGTGTCCATTATCTTAACTGTTTAATTAATTGACTAATAGTCATCTTCGTATTTCATAAAATGCATTTGATTGCAGATTTTATCTCGTTGGATTCCGATAAGGAAATTAATTAGTAACTTATCTGTTATTGAAATCTATAAATAAATAAAAGGATTTTCATTAATAAAATTATTACATTATTAAGTACTTGAAGGAATATTCCTAATTATTTTTACTTCAATCGTGATTTAATTGTATTAATAATAAGTATTTAACAAAGTGTAAGTAGGCTCATCAGATACTAAAAAGGTATTTCAAAACCTTAAACGTAATGCCATACCTAATATAGAAGATAAAAACATGATTTTTATGAAAGCAAGGTCCGAATATAACTTTCAAAACCAATAACAATCTACATCAATTCATTAAAAACAAGTAAAGAATCAAATGTAGGGGGTCACTAAACTAACTTGTGAGCCAAACAAGAAGAAACACCAAGATGCGATTAATGGAACATAAAATCAATTGCATTAAGAAGATTCCACTTACTCTTCTAATTTAATAGAATAAGAACACATTTTTGATGAAAATTTAGGCCTTTTACATAGGCAAACGAAGTTAGCAGAAGTAAATCTAATTAACCAATTTTAATTTTCATGATATAAAATTGTCGAAAGGCGACATGTGCTTTGATGAAATGGTTCAAACCAATTTCAATTTGTATGATATGAAAACGTTGCACGATGTCGTAAGGTGACGTGTCTGTTTTGACGAAAAAATCTATTTCTGCGAATTCGATGAAAATAATTCATAATTTCGTTTTCTTTTTATTCAATCTTCAAAGCCATAGGACGATAAACATAGTGAATCGGCCCCACAGGTATATATTGATAATTTTTTGAGGGTATATTGGTGCTAAGGAGATACGTTAATCGTGAAAATTTTAGACCTTTATCTATTTTGGTTTTTGAATAAATCTAAAAAAAACAAAAATAAGAGAATAGATAGAGGTCTAAAATTTTCAGAATTAACGTATCTCATTAGTACCAATATAACCTCAAAAAATAATCCAGATATCCCCCTGAGTCGATTTGGACCCATAAAATTGCAGTGGTTGAATCCAATTTTATTATGCATATGTGATATAAAAGCATGACAGGATGTCTTAAGGTGACGTGTATGGTGTTTTGACAAAAATATGTGTTTTACAATCTTTGTGTCGTTGTAACAAAGAAAATGATAACAAATATGAAATTATAAGTGCCAACTTGAAACTTGAGAATTGTTTTTTCGTAATCTTTGGTCCACAAACATCACTTTTCCTAATTGTTTTGTCACTTTCGATTGGAACTTGTTTACAAGCATTTCGTATCAAAATTTTAAAACGTTTTTCAGTTTTGATATAAAACCACATAAACAAACCACTCCATAAATCATGAGTGTAAGTGTCCTCTATATCACCATGCAGATACATAGCAGCGAATTGATAACAATTTTGTGCATGACTGACTAGAAAAAATATTATATAAATACAGGATATATACAAAAATAATGCTACTCATTGACTTATCTGGGTGCAAGTATATTTCATTTTTATTACTTACTGAAAATGAAAAACATCATTTGTATCTTATTTGTTATAACAACCATCAGCTATAGTAAAGGTCAATGGGACACACACTGGGATACTAACAAAAATACAATTGTACATCTTTTCGAATGGAAGTGGGACGATATTGCTGATGAATGTGAAAGATTTTTGGCACCTAAGGGATACGCTGGAGTTCAGGTAAGTTATTATTTATTCAGTATATTATTATTTACTCAGTTAGTAATTAATTAATTAACAATTGATACTGTATCGACCATTTAACAATAATACAATTCATGTAAAACAAAAGGTTTTTTTACTTCGAAATCAAGTTCATTAAAGAAGAATAATTAGCCACGTATTCTTATGGTTTCTTAATTTTTATTGATTCTTTAGGAAAAGACATACATGTGCAACGAAAGTAACAAAAGAATAAAATTCGTATGCATATGTTTTTCTTTAAAAAAAGGGTGGGTAAAAAAGCGCCAATGTTTATTCATCGATTGCTATAATACTGAGATGGAAAAAGATTTATGATTAATAAATACGTTGCTCCTTTTGGATGTTCGGACCCAGAAATTTGGTACTTAACATTAGAAATATCAGTAAAACTAACAACTAAATACATTATAAGAATTATTTTTCTATTGAGTCTTTTACAAAAATAATCACTACTCTTGGTATGGTACGTTATAACAATGAATTTGTAATAAACGTGTACGTTATAAGTGAATCGACTGTATTTTTATTGTTACGTATTTTTTTATAATTAGGTGTCACCTGCGACTGAAAATGTGGTAGCAAATAACCGCCCCTGGTGGGAAAGATATCAACCCATCAGTTATAAATTAATTACCAGATCAGGAAATGAAGAACAATTTATTAACATGGTAAAGAGGTGTAACAACGTTGGTGTAAGGTGAGTTTTAACAAAAGCACGTCTAATAGATACCTTCAAGGTGGTGGGTAAGAGTTTGTCAAACAGTTATCTGCAAGATCACATGTAGTAACAAAATTTCAAAGTAAAATTCCAAAAACCGGACAAAAACTCGACCGACCGATTCACCGCGCGTCATTTGCGCGGTGCATCGGTCGAAGCTTCGCACGGTGCAACGGCCCGACTGTGTCCAACGATTTTGACTGTAAAAATTATAATCACATTAAAATTTAGAATTCTAACGTAACACCGCATCAGTTTCTCGAATTGATGCAATGCAAACCAACAGAGTGTAAAATAAATGTATATTTGAAATGGAAAATACAAACTTTTGAAACAATTATTTATTTTGTTCAGGATTTATGTTGATGTACTTTTCAATGACATGAGTGCGAACCATGATAACGTTGTTGGAACGGGTGGCAGTACGGCAACACCTAACAGTAAATCATATCCCGCTGTGCCTTATTCATCGGAGCATTTTCATTCAACTTGCGAAGTTAACAATTACAATGATGCATACAATGTCAGAAACTGTGAGCTTGTTGGATTAAAAGATTTAGACCAGGTAACTAACTAACGTCTATTATTTTGTATAGTAAATGAATTGTATCCCCAAAATGAATTAATCTCAAAAATAAATCAACTTCAAATCATGCTTTGAAAGCACTTTTCAACTCTGAAGTGGGATAAATTATGATTAATTTTTGTTCGAAGACTAGTACAAGATTTGAAAGATGTTTTTGTTTATCTACATTAACATTTGCTACAATAATTAATAATCCATTTAGTGCAAAACATTCAAATAGTAAATATAATCCTTAAATTTTATTGGTCAAAAATAAGCCTTATATACGCTTTAGAAAACACCACAAATGGCACGGTAAACGCCATCTGTAGTACGATGCTACATTTTAGGATTACGTATCCTCCATTTAAATATATGGATGTCTACTTGCTGAAAGGAATCCTGGCGTAACTAACCTCAACGTGACAGGCACGTTACCATAACCAAATAAAATAATTCGAAGTGGTCTGTATTCTGTCGAAACTGCCAGACGCGGATCACGATTTCGATCTTTTTGGATCTCATCAGCGCGTCGCAGGCAGCTCCGACAGAACAC